AGCCATATTTAGAAACCAAGGCAGCGGCAGACTGAAAGGTGTGGAGAGGGCCAAGGAACAAGGCTGGGTTTGCAATAATGAGACAAGCCAACACCCAGTTGCAGAGCTGGAATGCTGGCATGAATGCCAAGAGAGCAATAACTTTTGTTCTCCCAGGAATTTGGTCTTGCTGTGGGGCCATGCCTCTTGGAGGGGTCTGGAAAGCACCCAGATAGGGCTCATTTTACTTCTTGAACAGGCCTGGTAGACATCATAGCTCACAACATTGTTAGGGCAGCAGTCAAGATACACTATTGCTCTGAGAACTGAGCACTGAGGATTTCTTTCCCCACCCAAACTCAGGTCTGTATAGAGAAGCATTACACACTTGACATTGCAACTGGCTTCCTCTTGCCTTGTTGAGTATGTCCTGAAAGAACTCACGTGGCAGCCACTGGGGAGTCTTCTGATGCAACTCTGCTCCTATTTCAGAGGATTGGCACTAAGCTTAATTAGATGTTTGTGAAGTGGCCAGATGAAAAGGCAATGCATTCCCACCAAGTAGAGTAGTTTGGTCTATGAGATCAAAGGTGGGAAGGAGAACAGGGAGTTGCACCTGAAGCAGGTTCTATTTAGCACAAGAGCAGCATTGCACAGATGGAAGAAACAAGAGCATGCAGGTTGGGTGGAGGATTCATTAGGAAGAATGGAAAATTCAGCAGAGTAGTGGGGAAAACTGTAGGCCTGATGATCAGCAGGTCCCTAGTTTTGTCTCTAAGGCTGCAGTCCTATTTATCCTTAGCCAGGTACAAGCCCCTTGAATGCAATGAGCTTTACTTCTGAGCATTTAGTTTTTGGCTTGGTCTACAAATGTACTGAAAATCCTCTCCATCACAACAGAAATAACGAAACCCAGTTCATGATCCCCCTTGCCCAATTCTGTCCTTGCATACCCTCCAGTGTAGCCTGTATGCCTGTTTTCTGTCAAGTGGATAAGGAATTCCAAGTAGAACAGAAATAAAGCTAACAGAACCCTAAAGGTCAAGCTAAAAACTATATTATACAAAAATACAAAATGTTTATTAGGGTGTACACATAACTAAAATATATAGCGGTTAAAAGAAATAGTCTAAGTTTCAGACTGAAAACGCTTGTACAACCAAGTTAGTTATACAAATACAATTGATGGGTAAAATCTTTTAACCTAAGGACCATATGTGTTTCGGCCCCTTTGGGCCTTCCTCAGTGGTCAATATTCTTTATATTACAATGACACACATTCAAAAATGTACACATAAGAAATATATATGAGACCAGATGTTGTTTTCTTATATGTTGTTTCTAACCCTAACCCTAGACTACTACCTTTGATATTTAGGGCCTATGCTTTATGGCCTACAATACAAACTTGTAGCAATTGCAAATGCAAAAGCATATAAGAAAACAACATCTGGTCATATATATATATATATAAATATAATATGTACATTTTTGGATGTGTGTCATTGTAATACAAAGAATATTGACCACTGAGGAAGGTCCGAAGGGGCCAAAACACGTATGGTCCTTAGGTCAAAAGATTTTACTCATCAATTGTATTTGTATAATAACTAACTTAGTTGTACAAGCCTTTTAAGTCTGAAACTTAGACTATTTTTTTAACCACTGTATGTTTTAGTTATGTGTACACCCTAATAAACATTTTGTATTTTTGTATAATATAGTTTGTAGCTTGTCCCTCTTGGTTTGCAGCTGATTTTGGGTTGAGTTTCCTCCCCCTCCCCTTTTTTCCAGTTTCTACTCAAAACCCTTATCAGATCCATTCAGTGAGGCTGTGTGGTCCAAAGCAGGTTATCGATATGCTAAAAACTCTTTTCCATTAGCATTAGCAATCCTTATAGTGATTGTAAGAATGAGCCTGGAGCCAATCATTATCCCAGTGACCTACTCCATCCAGCAGAAGCAGCACAGTCCAGCCCATTCCTTTTCAAGCAATGCCAGGACCTTAGATTTTCTATTTACTAGTTTTTTCTTTAATGACAAAAGAATGTTTTCTCTCAGTGCAAAACATTTTGAGGATCTGAAACCTCAGGGCTCTATTCAATGCACAGTTCTACACTGCAGCCACATTATGGATCTTAGGGGTGGTGTGTGTGTAATTAATAAAATAAGCTTTTGGGAGAACTTTTCTATTTTCAGCACAACAAGGATGCAGTTGTATCAGTTATGAATGTATCCACTACTTCTGATTAGAGTGCTCTTCCTGAAAACGACTCCCTGTCTCCCCCACCCGACCTTGCTTATAAATGTATTTTTTTAGCTGCCACATTCACTCACATCCTGCACCTGCACCTGTGGTGGTTTCAGGTTAGACATTACTTCTTCCATGTGTTCCTTTGTTAGAACCCTTTCAGTGAGATAAGAAACAAGTGACGCTGAAGTAACAGAATGGCATGAGAAATAAGCTGTCTCCATTATGGAGTAATGCATGGCACTCTTCCAGGCAATAAGATCAATGGTTGATCTCATTGACAGCTGACAGGGCGAGGTGGGTAAAAGAGAGATTAGGTTTGGTATGATGAGGCAGCCATGGGAGGGGTTCCCTCCAGTCCTCCTCTCAGCAGCCAAGCTGGATGCAGAACCAAAGTGGAGCCTTTGCCTTCCAAGCCGAAAGTTCAGAGGGGCATGCAAAGATCTGGCCAGAGTGCGACTGCACTTCTGACATGGGGCATGAAGCAAGTCTGTAATGACCAAAATCAGTTTTTTAATCTAATGGTTGGTTTTGGTTTGGATGTTTGTTTTGGTCTCGTTACTAGTCAAGGTATTGCTAAATTGCCATTTAATTAAATGAGTTAACAAGCAAATAAGCAAAGGCTAAGGATGTCTTTTCTCTTGCCTTCGGGAAAAATAGAGCACCTGTCAAGAAGCCACCACATTCTCATTTATGGTCGCTGCTGCCCCAGGAGGCTGGCTGGGGGATAGCACTAAACCTGCTTAGATGAGTCACACCTCACCCACATCACCACTCACAGTTTCACACAAGTATGGTAGACATGGTACACATGAGAAGGGATAATTTCTATTGACAAGCACATCATAGCCAGGGTACCATAAAAGTTAGAGGGTCAGACTATGCCTGGGAAGACTTGGGCAGATCCCTGCTCTGGGATGAAATGCCCTGGGTGGCTTGGAGCCAGCCACTGTCTCTCCCCCTCAGGCCTACCTCACAGAGTTGCTGCAAGGATAAAATGGGGGAGGAGACCATGGGTGCCCACCCTGAGCTCCTTGGAGGAAAGGCAGGATTAAAAAAAAATCTAATGAATGATAGTAATGAAATGACCAATACCACATCATTGAAAAACCACTCCACAGCTGTTTCAGTAACAATATATTAGTATGTTTAGTATTCAAAATGGCAGAAAATGCATCTTCATGCCTGGGCCTGTGTGTACTAATGATGCTGATGACGACTGTTGATTACACGGGTCATGCAAACGATCATTGCTTGTAATACTTATCCTTACAACTTGAGCTCTGTATTAATAATGAGATGTGTTTCAAGCTGATGTCCTACTTTTGCACTTACACATGTGGCATTCATTAGCCCAGGCAGATAATACCTGTCATTGGCACATGCACATAGACAGATTGCTTCAAGTACTTCATCTCAATGAGAAACTGTCCTTCTTTCTTGATGGCTGAAACTGACTTTTAAAAAAGGCACTGTACTTTACAGTACAATGGCCCATCCCTATCTGCAGTTCGTCAATCCATCATCTTCTTGAAAGCCCAAGAGAGTCACATATGCATCAAGGACAGGGCACAGTTCACATCAATGTGGCCTTTACAAAAAAACAGTGGGGGAAAAGAGAGAAAAACTTTTTGTGCAATCCTTTCGATGGGAGGGGAGACTTTTTCCTCTTCAACAAGTCAACTGTGTTCCAGTATCTAGTCAGGAGCCAGGGCATCATGACACATTACATACACTGAAGGGAAAGGGAGCATTTTGCCATTGCTTAGTCAATGTGCTGCTGCCTGTTGTGCATTACAGAGCTCAAGTGATGTTTCCTGAACATTATAATCCAATTGAGAACACTTGTAAAAAACATTTTTTTAAGTTTGCAGAGAAAAATTATAAATGTATCAACTTAAATATTTATACCCTGGCTTTTTTCATGGCTCAGCAGCTTACAAATTAAATTAAAAACATCACAATTTAAAATTTACACAAAATCCCAAATAACTCCCCTCCCCCCAAAGGTGCCTGCATTTTATACGCTATTAAAAGGCCTGGAAAATAGTGTAGTGCCTCCTGAACATTTCTAAAGATGATCCCCCCCCCAAACTTCAAGGAGTCCATTCCACAAAATGGGAGCTATAATGGAAAACGCCTGTGGGCTCCGGTTAATGCCCAGTGGGCTACCTTAAGTGGAGGAATAACCACTGTGTGGGAGCCTGAAGACTGTGGTTGGTGCACAGGGACATATAGGAGGAGATGGTCCTTTAGACACAAGTGTACCAAAAATGGTTTGGGAGTTTTAACCTATCACTGATATATGCACTAGAGGCAGTACACATAAAAAGTCACAAATTTTGATGCAGTAGAAAGATGTGTAAATTCACCTTGAGTTAGGTTGCCAACCCTGGGTTGGGGATTTCCTGGAGATCTGGAGTAGTCCATGGGGATGGTAAGGTTCAGGGTAACCTTTTAGTGGGGTATAATGCCACAGAGTCCACCATCCAAAGTAGCCATTTTCAGGACACTGATCTCTGTAGTCTGAAGTCAGTTCTAATTTCAGGAGTTCTCCAGGTATGACCAGGAAGTTAGCAACTCTGCCTAAAGTGTATTTCTCACTGCTTCTGCAAACTCCCTTACTATGTTTAGTCTTTGCACATTTGCTAAACCGGCATAATTTAAGTACAATGGGAACATAAAACTAGAAAAAGAATGCAAATTCCCTTATTTTTTTCTTCCTAATGCAGCAATAACACATTTCAAACACAGATTTTTTTCCCTCGCATGGAGTTTATTGAAGACAGTTTTGACATTCAAAAATGATGATACCACCAGTAGTACAAAAATTGAATAGGGCTGTTTCAACTCTCTCAGCTTTATCGGGCAGCAGTCTATGCCTGGACTGGCATGTATAATGCCTTTACTGAAGCTTTTCATTAATTTATGCGTCTTACTCCTTTTCCTCTTTTAAAAGAAACAAATAAACAGCAGGAGAAAACCACTCCCCTGCCTCATCAACTTTTTAACATGACAGATACAAAATCAAGACCGCGAAGGCTTCATTAGAACTCCAGCTTCTGGCCTTGGAAAAAGCTTGTATTTATTGCTGTGCAACAGAAGTCCCTCTAGCGGAGAACTTGGGGATTTATCTCAAGTAGTATTTGCCTTGCATTTTGAAGAAGGAGAATACATAGCATTAATTCATCTAAGTATAAATTGTGTGGATTTTTTTTCTCTGCCAGTGAACCTTAGCTGCTGAAATGCCACAATCATTTGAACCTGTTTACCTGGTGAAAACCTGAATAGGCCTGGCAAATACCAAAGAAGCACTGATGTGCACACACAAGGTTTCACTAAGTGGGGCCATAGCTCTGTGATATACAGTGCATATTTTGTCTGTCCCAAGTCTTCTGCATCTCCAGTTAAAGGGCCTCGTATGGCCAGTTTCTTTAACCCACACAGTGTAGTACACTAGGTTACTGAGGCAAAAAAAGAAACCCTTTGGAAACATTGGCATCTTGTAAACCAGTGAGCAATATTCTGAGACCTCAATGATCTCCACCTCTTTTCTCCGTGATCCAACTCTATTGTTTGGCAGCTCATTCAGCACTGAAGTTCTAGAATGGTGCACATGTGTATTCATCATCTCGTACACATTTTTCATTTTAGCCATCACTCATGCAGTGCAACTTAGCTGGATTCTCCTATTTCAAATAAAATCCATGAAAATCACTGCAATTATACCCTGAAGAATGGCAACAATTTGGGGTGCAGACAGGGGGAGGGGCCATAGGACATGCATTGTCTAGGCAAGGTTCCAGGTTCAGTCCCTAGCCTTTCTAGATGTTGGTATAGTTGGGACATTCCGAGACCCTGCAGAGCTGCTGAGTAGGGTCTGTTTCATACTTCTATCTTATTTAAAGAGATTGTCAACTAAATAGCTTTTTTTAAAAAAAGACAGCCATCTTTTTAAAGCATCCATAGAAAATAGATACATCCGATAATTTGTCTTGGAGGTGGATCTCATTTTAGAAGTCATCAGAATGTAGTGCTTTGTTCAGCAAGCAACAAAAAGTTTAGTCCTGTTACGTGCTGCAAAGATAAATGCTTGCAAATCACAAAAGCACACCCTTTCTTTAAAATGTCACTTCTGTTCTAAAGTTAGTCTCAGTTAAGAATCTGCCTCTAATACTGAAGATATTTCATAGGTAGTATTCTCTCAAATATTTGTTGTTAAATCAGCATTGCAATTCAGCAAGGTTATTTATTACATTTTCATCCCCACCTTTTATGGAATTCAAGGTGGTGTCCTGGGAGGCCTCCCATCTCAGTGTCAAGACACAGGCCTCCTTAGCAAACTTGCTATGTCTTTAGACTATGTCATGTGACTCAGCTGAAGGTTGAGACATCTCCAGGAAGACTTAGCATTCAAGATCAAAATAATTTAGTCCGCACCCCAGCACATACATAAATCACAGATCCTAAGAGAATCCATATGGGAAGGGGCAAAACTTTTCAAATCCAAACTGTGCTAGGACAGCTTCAGGTATCTCTTCACAAGGTATCTTTCTGTTTAAACAAATACCGCAGCCCCGTGCATACACAACAAGCAATTCTTCCGTACTGCAAAACCATCTTCTCTTGCTGTGACTTCCATCCAGCCATAGTTCTCTCTTTCTATTACATGTTTCCATTGAAGTCTGAGATGACAACAGCATTCAATCCTTAAACAATTTATTGAGTAGAATTGCACGCATTGTTTTTCTTTTAAAGCCTTTGTGTTTTTTAATTGAAAACTGTTTTCAAAGAGGGCTGCTTTGATCACACTCTCAGAACCAAGTAGAGTCTTAAGGCTGTTTTTCCACAAATGCTGACAACCATAAATATGCACCTTTCAGTTGCTGTGTCCATCCTACACAAAAGCATTATCATACAGCTGGCCATGCCAATCTGGTACAGTGGAATCCATATTAAAAAGTAGATGCTTACCATAGGAAGGAGAGAGAGAGAGAGAGAAAGAGAGAGAGAGAGAGAGAATGTCAGGATGGCATGATTAAAAATGTATACAGAAAAGGAATTACATATATTATTCAGATCCTGTTGACTTCAAACAGATGAAGATGTAATCTACAAATTGTTTAATTTAACAAAGATTCTCATCACTCAGTGGAATTAAGACATCCAAGGCAAACACTATGGTTTGGATCCTAAGTGCCCTTTCTGCTTGCAGTAGGCACTTCTCATGGAAGAGAGAGAGGGCAATTTTTGCTGATTGTCCCTTCTCACTGCAGCTCTCTACTTTGATCCCACAATGTACTGACCCACAAAGTCACAGTTTCAGAAGGAAAATAGACAGGGAAGGTGAAAACTGTCACTGTGCAGCACACAGGACTCAACCAAGTATTGCACGGGGGCCCACAATATGCTACTTTCAAGTCTATTCCATGAGTTATTGAGTTGTAATTTTCATAACTGCCGCTATAAGCACCCAAAAGAAGAATGTACAAAAGGGATCAGAACTAAAATGACATTATGTAATCAACACAATGCTCTGATCCAACCGAGGGTCATTTCATAGAAAAAGAGGTGCAGGAGCTCATTAGCATAACTCATTAGCACAACTTATTTGCATATGCCACACCCCCGGACATCACCGGAAGTGTGTCAGAAGGCAACACCCACCGCTCAGGCTCCACTGGACTGTTTTGGATTGCTAGCTATTGGGGAGGGGCATGCAGATCTGTCCTCGCAGAGGGAGAGCTTGTACCTGGATAAAGTCTTAAAGGTGCCACTGGACTGTTTTGGACCTGGGGGTGGGCTCTGCAGCTTACCTGGCTGCTTGTTGCTTTGACTGAGGGCTGCTGGGAGCAGGGGGCGGGGCTTGTTGCATGTGCCCGCCCCCTGGGCTCTTTACTGCTGGAGCTCTGCTCCTGTGCGCTCCTGCAGGAAATGACCCCTGGATCCAACTACCATGACTTGTAATAGAAAGTCTCAAGACTTGAATGCTGGTAGCTCACAAAGTTGATTTTTTGCTCACAAGACTCCACAGCTTAGAGAAAGCGTTGGCTAGGACTTTCCTTAACATGCTAGGCTTGAAAACCCACCCCTTCAATAAGTATGCTGATTTACCACTGAACATGGTGGAGAGAGGGCTGTGCAGTGTGAAGTCATATCAACAGAGATCAAGTGCTAACTGGTTTGACGTACTGACCACAAGAGTTAAGCATGCCAGACCTTACCCACTCATTGGTCTTTACCTTTTATGGTGACAAAGGCTTTGCTGACTGCCTGGCCTAGAGCATTGTTGGCAACCACTCTGTATTCTCCTTCATCTAATGGCATGACTCCTGGGATCACAAGGGAGCAGACCCCAAAGTCATTTTTGGTGAAGAAGGAAGGATCTTGGGAGAGGTTCTTGCCATCCTTGTACCAAGTTATCTGTGGTACTGGATATCCGGTCACCGCACAGCTCATGTGACAATCAAATCCTAAAGTCACAATGTGCGGTTTCAGTGGGACAAGAAATCGTGGAGGCTGGCATCGGTTGACTCCCTTATATCTTGGAAGCCTGACTTCAAATTTACCTGTAAGAGGCACAAAAATAAAATGAGGTTACAAAGAGTTAAATTAAGAGTTAAGCAAATGTTCTTTGGATATTTTGTGAATTTATTTGGATCACTTCTCTTTACGCAAACATATTTCCTCAGAACACTGTAATGTCATGTCCTCCTAGAAGCATAATATTTGTAATGAGAATGACCAGGTGCACACTATTTCATTCACAACAGGGACAGTTAGCAAACCAGCACTGGTTTCCCTTCATAGCCTATTTATTTATTTATTTAGTTAGTTAGCTACATTTATACCCCACCCTCCCCACGAACAGGCTCAGTTTGGCTTACAATGGTCGGTACAATGTACCTAGTCTCCATAAAACATTTTAAACATAGACTTCAAAAAAACCACCCCATTTTATTTTAGCACTAGTCTTCATCCAGAATGCATACGCCTGTACATCTAATGTCAAACTTGTTTGTGCCTCCCTCCACAGCCTAATCTACCACCACCACTTCACTGTCGTTCGTTTCAGGAACCCAACAGAACACTATATGACAGTCTTAATAGCCTCCACTTGGGCAGCAGAAATTTTGCCCTGAACAAATTTACCCTTTGCTTTGTGAACGGTCCAAGGCTGTACTGTTTCAGAAGGGTCGCTGATTCCCATGCAGTTTTTTGCCAGAACCCTGAAGTAATATTCTCTGCCTGGGACAAAATTGGAGACGGTACACTTGTTTGTGTAAATCAGATCAGACACCAGTTCCCATGATCCCTTGCTGGCATCACGTTTCATGACCATGTAATAGAGGGTATTTTCTCTTTTCTCTGTTGGCGAAGGCTCCCAAATCAGAGTCACTGTCTCAGGGACATTCTCAACCAGCTGAATAGGACCAGGGGATTCCGGGATATCTGCAAAATGAAAAAAAAATCAGGTGCTATGGCTAGAATTATTGTACCACCTGTCCTCTCAGAATTTTCTCTGATGGGAGCCCTCTTTCAAAGCCACTCATTTGGCCACCACCAGGGCTCGCTCTCCAGAATGGATTTCCAGAAGAAGAGAGGAGGGTGCCTATTTTTGTCCAGTTCCTATGGCAATATAAGATTGTCCTTTTCAGGCAAAATGTTGATGGATATTAGGCCAAGTCTGCTGCTGGTATTTTAAATTCTGTGAAGTGTATGGTTTTGACTTCTTGTTACTAGCTCTGGCTGGTTTTGTGGGCTTCCTTCAGTCACCGTTTATGGCAAGAAAGGCAGGATAAAAATGTTTTGAAATATAGAGGGACCATATCATAGTACGTGGAACACAAAAGGCACAGGTATACTAAATAGTAAATTTCATGTTCACAGAATGCAAAAACAATTGCTAGTACAGAAGGTAGCCCCTGGTGGAAATAATAAAGTAAAAATGTGTCTTTGGAATCAGAGTCACAAATTAGGAAAGACATTGGAAATCCCTTGACTGGATCTTCAGCACATTAATCCTTTATAAGCCATACCCACAGGAGCCCCCAATTTGGACTAGGGCTGTGGCATACTTGCATTATTCCCTCCCCACTCCTGGTTTTGTTTTTCCAGCATCAAATCTCCCTTGCAGAACTAATGTTCACTTGTATTTTGGTCGACCAAATGTTTTCCTCAGTGGTACCTGAGGCTCGAAAAATGGGACAAGATGAAAACAGTTAGCCCCTCTATTTGTGATCCAAATCTGGGCTGTTCCATAGCTGCTGTTTATGTATGAAAAGTGTGCTGGAAACCGGATTATGAATCTCCAGCATCTTGTCTTGCTCAGCCCTGATTTTAAGAATTGACACTGTTTGCCCAAAGCCAGAGCACTGCCCCAGAGCCTCTTTCTAGATCTCGTTGTATTGCTTTCACAACGGGCTTTACTGCTAGTATATATATAATTGTACTGTTCTGATTTTATTTACTTCTTGTTTTAATTGTTTTATATCTCTATGTAAGCCACCCTGAGCCAGCCTTGGTGGGGAGGGCGGGATATAAATTAAATAAATAAATACAAATAAATAGATTTTACTGTGTGAACTGGCAAAATCCAGTTGGAAAGTACACTAAAAGTGGATTGGAAGTGGATTATTTAGTTTGTGTGTGATCACAGCCTTTCTGTGTCATCTTGTTGACAACATGCTTTGAGATTATCTCTAACCAGGAGCAACATGTAACAATGTAATTGTTAGTTTAATTTATTCATTGTTTGCTTTCTTAAAAAACTAGGTAATCAACTGACTCCAAAGGTTTGTAGCCCACTTATACCCTGAGGTTTAAGGTTGAGGCAAGGTAAATAAAACTGTTTTAAAGGAAGAAGACCTTATCTCAGAGTTTGCAAATGGAAATAAGCCAGTTTTCACTCTCTTCATCTCCCAGGTAGAAATGTGTGTTGACAGTTGGTGCAACTGCTTTCTGTAAACTGTAAACAAAGAGGCTGACAGTCTGCGATATATGGGGGTGGGTGTCCCATTCCATTTCTGACAGTTGTCCATAAAGGCTTGCCACAGCATGCACTCCATGTTCCTTTTTTGGCAGTGCTAAATATGTTCACTTATGACCTTTAATTGCCCCACAGGCTTTATCCCTTTTATGAACAATGGGTAAACTTGCACAGCTCCTACCTGATTAGCCCAGGTAAAGTAAGCAGGAATATGTTATTGAGTCCATTTTCCAGAAGAGGGAATGTGTTTTGCAAGTTGTATATGCACTGTTGTAAACTCTACATGTGCTTGTTACCTATGACTTGGACTAGGAAGCTGAAAGTCTCTTTCTTCCCAAACTCCGTTAGGAGGGTGATGGTATAAAGGCCACTGTCAGAATATTCAGCTCCTGGTATTATGACTTGGGTCAGGCCTTCTCTGGTAGCAGTTGTGGCTTTGTGGGGAAGAGAAAACCCATCTCTCAGCCAAATTGCTTCAGGAGTCGGGGAAGCCTATTGAAAAAGAAATACACCATCAACTTACACTGTTTTTAACAGTCACATACAGTGATTCAGGACTGGAAATGTATTTTGCCACAAAAACTAATCCTCTCACAGACAGTGACAATGGTACCATGTAGGACAGGGGTGTCAAACATACAGCCCAGGGACCAGAACCGGCCCATCCAGGTCTGTTATCCAGCCTGCGAACAAGAAAGAGGAGGGTGGTGTCAGCAACAGCAAGAGCAGCAAAAAGACCCGCGTCAGGTCAGTTGGCTGAATGGTCCATCCTCCCCTTCCTCTCTCTCTTGGTTGGGACAGGCTGTGTATGTGCAGCTGCTGCCCTCTTCCTGTCAGAGGTGTGTGTGTGTGGGGGGGGCTGCAACCTCCCTGTCAGTGTGAAGGTGGTGGTGGTGGTGAGAGCTGCTGACAGAAATGGGCATTAGGGGAAGTGTAGGAATGGGAATGCCAGAGTATATTTGGGGGGAGTGGTATAAGGGACTGGAGGCAGAGGCATGGAAGGGAAGGGTTGAAGTGTGTGCAATGGAGTATGCAATGTTCCCTCCAAGCTATTGAGTCTTGTGAGCAAAAATTCTACTTTGTGAGCCAATGGCATTAAAGTTGTGAGCGTGCGATTTGTCTACTGCATAAATTAGTTTGCTCTGGAGCTATCCTTCCTGAGCAAAGACAAAAATCTGTGAGCTGGAGGCTAAAAAACTGTGAGCTAGCTCACACTAACTCAGCTTAGAGGGAACACTAGGGGTATGTGGTGGGAACTGTGCTTGGAAAGCCATGGGAAGGGAAGAGAAATATAGCTTTTGGGGTGAGGGAACGTGCTGAGTGTTTATGTTTGAAGGGGTGGAATGCAAGAGCAGTTGTGTAGTTGGAGGCTAAGATAAAACAGGAGTCTTGAGTGACCTTAAAGACTTAATGAGATTTTGTTGCATCATTTTTATTTCCTAGGCATCCGTATCATGCTTGTCTCCACAAATGGGGACCCAAAGCAAGTTACAAGTATGGTTCTCCCCATCTGTGTTTTTCTTCTCACAACAACTGTGCAGGGTACGATAGGCTGAAAGAGTGACTGGCCCAGAGTCATCCAGCAACTTCCATGGCAGAGTGGGGTTTATGAACCTGGGTCTCCCAGTTGCTAGTCTCCATGCTTGAACCTCAGCACCATGAGCTGAATGTGTGTCTTTGTGGAAGGTCAGGTCTCTAAGTGGGACTGAAATGTAAGGAAAGGAGTGGTCAATGGGAGCAGACTTGAGATTTAGTGGAGAGTGGGCCCCTTCCACTTCCTCTCAATTACAGGCAATCCCAGTCAAACAATGCCCGTTCCTCTCCCACACTCAATCAGCCAGGACTCTGCAAGAACTCTAAGTGCTTCCACACACTGCTAAACACAGTTTTCCCACAAAATATCCTTAGCTGAATTCTCTCAGCTGAAATCAAGTAAAAGAAACCCACTCACCTCTCTCACAGCTCTCTCTCCTGCTCTTGCTCAGAGCTCAGCTGGTCTTGTAACAGAGCTCAGAAGTGTCTTGTAACACTTCCCTCCCGAGTTTAAAAAGTACCTGGTGAAAGCGGTAGCAAACCACTGAATGCAGGACAGAAATTGCTTCCCGGAAGTGTGAATGCCAAAAGCCACAATTGCTGATGCGCATAAGCGCATATCTTCGGATTATCAAAAAGAAAGCCGCACCTTACAGCCGCTCCTCCGCCAGGGGTGAGCCAACAGTGCGAACGCTCCCTTGCGCCTCCTCCCTGGTATGCTCCCGCATCAGTCGGTGCAGTGTGACCAGGAATACCCGGAACAAGTTGTTCTGGGTCTTTTTTGCCACAAATCCCTCGCGCTTCAAACTGCCAGTCTGAACTCAGCCTATATGTGTATGTTTTGGAGTGGACCTATCTAAGTGGAGAAGAAACCCTCCTTCACACACAAAAATGCTTCCAGGGTTGCAGAGAGAAAAAAATGCTGATCTAGTATAGTGGGGAAGTGTATTTTCAGAGGGAAGAGGACCTCTGGGATTACTTGTACCCAGGGGGCGGGGTGGAAAGGAAAAGTTTCTCTATGGTGGGAGGTGTACTTAAGGTGGATTACACATTGTGAGTCAGTACAGTCAGCAAAATGGGACATTCATACTGCTCCCCACCTACCAATGAAAGGATGCCACAAATCGCAGGTAGGTGGGGGCGCAGTGTGATGCTGTACTTTCTGAAGTTGGTATTAGTAAATTTTGCCAATTTTTGGGTCTGAATTACTCCCAATTTAAGGCTTTTGCTTCTAAAATTCTGTCTCTGTTTGGGACAACACATGTCTGTGAACAGCTGTTTTCTGTAATAAATGTCAGTAAATCAAAAGTACATTCTCAGCTTACAGATACACACCTAAACAGCATACTCAAGGTTGCTACAGCACAGATGTTGACTCCAGATTTTGATGCACTAATTCAGAGCAACAGGTGTCAGTTATCAAAGACTGTTAAATAAAGGACACTTTTACATCAACTGCATTGCTTCCACTGAATGCAGGACAGGAATTGCTTTGAAAGATCATCATAACTGCCTTGTTTAGCTGGAAGCAAGTTCCAGTGACTTAAGACTGGACTCCCTTCCTAGTAAGTATGCTTGGGATCACATTTTTAATGCAGGATGTGGTTCAATATACTAGAGTTGGGGTGGGGCTCATTTACAGGTATGGAGGGTATTTTCACTGGCATCACTTTAGTGAATGCAAAGCGATACATAAAAGGACTATAACAGTTAGCCACCGTCTGTAGAACAAAGCAAGAAAGCAGGAATTTGACTTTCATTGTTCTCAACAATGAGCTATACTTACTTCAAAGGGAATGCGCACACGAATGGTATCCCCAGCTTTGACAATCATGAAGCTTTTCACAGTGTCATTTATTAGGAGCCTGGGGCGGACTAAAATAAAAAAAAAACCAAATTGTTTTATGATGTAGACTGAAAGACATTTTGAAAATATAGTGAATCCCTAGAGATACCAACCACTGGAAATGTTTCCACAACAGTACAGTATTCACAACTGCTTGATCATATTCTGTAAATAATCTGACAATTTATTACCTTATGCTTTTGATTTATATATAGAAGGCGGGATAGGGATGGGGAGATTGACAGAGTGAGTGCAGAACAGGACTTTCCTACCTTCTTCCCCTCCTACTGCATCCCACTGAGCCCTGTGAACTTCTGCCCCTCAAGATGGGACCCTCACAATTGGTGTGGAGAGTGAATTAGGGCCCAAGGTGGGATGGAGTAGGCCATAATTGCCTTTCTTCCACCAATGGAAGTGCCATTCCATCTGTGTAAGTACTGTTACACTGGCAGAGCAGCACTTTTGGATCCAAGCCATCATTTACTATGACAAAAAAATCCCTGCATATAAGGCACATCCAGATTTGCAGCATATTGGAACAATGCTCTGTACCTTTTCCTACGATCTGCAATTGAAACTACAGCTGTAAGGGGTGGACCCTATCTAGAGTAAGCAGAGCTCTGCTGGATAAAATGGAATTATTTTCCCCTTCCAACTGCAACCTGCTACGCTCTTTGAAATCATGCCCCAGAGGTCAGTGAATCCCAGGGAGCAGTGGGGGAGTGAAGTGGGATTCTGCAGGGGAAGGATGATCACCAAATATTGCTTCTCCCCTGCTTCTGCTGGAGACATGCCTTCCTCAAGTGGAAAAGGACAGCCATAAAATTTGAAATTTGAACAATACTGTCTCAAGTATACATCTTCAGTCTTTCCTTGTGTCAATGAGAACTATCACTCCCCACTTTGCTATTTCGAATACAGCGCTGTCTTTTGACACCTGGCTTTCCTTCATCACTTCAGGTTTTCATTCTTATTGTTAAAAACCTCCATCTTTGAACAAATCCTTTCTGGAACCACTCTTCCTCCATTGCAAGTTGACGGTTATCCTCATTACTTAACTGTCTACAACCTCTTACCTCTGTGCACCAATACCCACTCATAGGCAGTGGGCATGTCATACCTGTGTTGTGAATCAACAACTAGCACAACATTGGCAATAAATACATGTGTAGATATACCACTAAAGTTAGTAATAGTACTATTAAGAGAAACAACAGTAAGGGTGGATTTTTCACAAAAATATGGTATTTCTTAAGTGGCTGTCTTTTATAGATGAAGAAGTTTGGATCAAGAATAGTGTTTTCACAGACAAAATGATTTCTACCTACAGAGCATGACTGTCTTGTGCCCCCCCTCTTGCAGCAGCCCAACCCCCCCCCCCAATCCTGTTCATGGGAGGAGGGTAGTGATTGGGGCTGACAGCCCACCCCCCCCCCCCAATCCTGTTCATGGGAGGAGGGTAGTGATTGGGGCTGCTGCAGAAAAAGTAAAATCATGACCCACAAGTAGAAATCCTCGTGCTCATACAAAAGCTGGATCCAAGTCACAATTCCCAAGACATAAAGCTGCCTGTTTTGACTCACCAGAGGGAGGTACAGCTTGGATGCAAGTGTCTAGTTCAACAGGATCACTAGAACCTCCATCATTGACTGCTCTCACACGCAGGAAATACATTTCCTTGGGTTTTAGCCCCCTCACTGTATAATTAATTGCTGCTATTGGGAGAGCATTACACTGGGTCCATTTCAGAACATCAGAGTGTCGCATTTCTACAATATACCCCTTGGCATGACTTTGTTCCTCTGATCCTGATTTCTTCCATGACAAAGAGATGCTGGTGTAGTCAGTACTGACCACTTTAAGATCCCTCACTGGACCTGGAGGTTCTGGAAAAGAAATGATTAATTGACATTTCTACATGTCAAAGACTTCTTAAATTCTGCCTCCCATCGTTTAGCTTGCCCCACTGCTCTTTGTAATGTGTATGAGTACTCTGTGTATATATACACTATATTTATACTCTGCATTTCTCACTGAGACTCAAAGTGTAAATTGGTACAACCAATGTGAAGAGCAATATACTAGGACTAGGATTACAGAGATCTGAATAAGCATAACATAGTAAACATGATGCAGACAGCAGGTGCAATGCAGAAAAAATGGTATTGCATCATTAGAAAACAATGCAGCAACTGACAGGTAATACATGCAGCAAACTGATGATATGTCCTATACACAGTATAGTCTGCAATACCTTTCCCTTTATAAAACACCTTCCTGAATCATTCTATTATAGTATAGTTCTATTACCTCATAGAAAAGCCTTCCGGAAAAATTCCATTTCCCCAGGTATGAAAGGAAGTATCTGTCCACAGTTCTTCCTATAACTCTGGCGATTGTTCCTAACTCTTTATTCCATGGTAGTAAAATATCCTCATTACTCTCCATAATTCACTGAAATCCCATACTGTCGCCCTACCAACAGTGTTATGATACCTTGTGTTACAATATCTGTTATGTACTTGAAACCCATGAAGTATAATAAAATAAGATGTAGAAATGCCATTGCCATATTCCCACCACCCCCCTATGCATTTTCTCATGGTCAATTCCATGGTCAGTGGCTAGTGAGTATTTTTTATCATTTGGGCTTTCCTTAATCCAAGGTGCAAATTTGACAGTACTGAGGTGGTTGGATGCCACCTCCTGCAATCTGTATGGCAATTTAAATACGATTTCATGATAGTACCCATCAAGTGATCAGGTGCGTTTATGAACATATACAAAATGTTTTTTGTGAATTAGCTTTCCACCCACTATCTATGCTACTTCCCAGAACCATGTCCAATAGGAGAGCTTGTCCAAATCACTTACTCATGGGATCCCGAGCAAAAATGGCTTCTGAGGGTGTGCTGGCCTCACCCATCCCTGCAGCATTGATAGCAGCCACACGGAATTCATACTGCAGGCCTTCCTTCAGATCAGTCACTGTGTACTTCCTGTCTATGGAAAGAAATACTCGAACATGAAATCATGAAACTTTTTTTGCAAGATAATATTATTGGTGCTAGAATGTCCTTAAACGTGCCATACTTTGGGTTTTGTAGTAGACAGCTACAGCAGAATTGCAGTGAAATATTAACCTCTCTTTTGTGTGATATATTTGTCTGTTAACTGACCAGAAGAACAAAGAGATATTTCCCTCAGATTACTTTGTTCTATTACTCCTATCATGGAATGACCAATAAGAGCCTGTGTAATATCGCAGCAATCGGCAACAGTGCTACTAAAAAGAAGGCCTGACAGAACTTTTTCCTTATGATTATCTGAAAAAGTCTGTAGTGTGTGGAGATTACATAAATGAACTGTGTACAGTACAAAGGAGATGTGCTATGGCTCCTTCTTCCAATTATCTGTATGCATAACAAACTTATCACAAGTAAAAAGAAACAACATTAAGCCACAGCATAAAAACTTCAGTTATTCAAAAACAAGATGTGCATTTCTAAGTGTGAGTGGGAAGAATGCTGCAATGAGCAAGGGGATAGAGAGGTGCAACTCTGGCTGGGAAATGTCATCATAACTCATAAAGCAGTGAAGACAGCGTGTGTTGGGAGGGTGTAGTGTTTTGCTATGAAAATATTTTTTGTGTTTTTTATTTCTGTGAATTAATATGGTCTTTATATGTATGTTTACTGTGGTTTAAAAAGCAAGTCTCACGCTCAGACATAATAGGGAAACAGACTGGCACGCAGAATACAACCACCTAATCAATCTCACCAAAGGCAAGAAGAGAAATCACCTGTAGGATCAGTAGCAGAAACCACGTTGGTGGTAAAGCCCAGAAAGAGATTCGTATTAAACGAGCAAAACCCTTTCTGAAACAATAATCAACTTTCCCCAGGTAAGGAAGTTTCTACTACTCTGTTCAAAGCCTTATTTTTGTTGGAATATACAAAGTCTATAGTGCACCTACTTGAAGAAGATGAGAAGAACAGCCTATAGGCAGGCCTGTAGCCAGGATTTCTTTTGTTCAGGGGGCATTTACATTTTTAAGGGGCAGTTAAATTACAGTTAATTAAATTAACCTGAATGTCCGTCTTTAAAGAGGAAGGCTCTGATTGTTGGAGATGTTTTGGTGGAGATGTATTGAAGGCGCCGCTCTTGAGTGCCCTTCTAAGCTTTCTTGCCCTGTGGAAGGGAACTCAAGAGGCATTTAAATGCCCTCTGAGCTTTCTTTTCCCAGGTCCCATGATGGCCCCCCCAATTCCACAGTGGGAGGGAGAGGGAAGCCCGCGCCCCCACCCCGACTGCTGCCAGTAGTAGACAGTGGTGGTGGTGGGTGTCTCTCCTAAAAATAAGGTTTCTGACATGGTTATTTGTGGGACATGGCTTTTCATTAAGGGGGCATGGCCCCGGAATGCCCCACTGTAGCTACAGGCCTGCCTATAGGTGACAGCTGAAGGACTGCTAGTTAGCATAGCTAGATCAGTGACTCCCCACAATTTCAAATTGCATCCTTCCTGTCTCCCAATTGGCTCTTTGGAGACTTCCTGCACCAACTGAGCCCCTCCCTCTTTGTTCCTGTCTCTCACAGCAGTTAGTCAGTTAGTTAAGCCTCTCCCCCATTCTTCTGTTCTATCTTAGGGTTGCCAGGTCCTATCTCCAATCCAGTGGGGGACTCCCAGGTCCTCGTTGGAAGTGACGTCATTGCATTGCTGATGTCAGGATGTGACATTCTAGTTTTTGGGCATAACCCTATGTTTTTTTGCCCTCAAAACCAGAGTTTGCCCAAAAACTAGAGCATCACTCTGACGTTGGCAACACAATGACATCACTACCAGATGATGTCATCACACTGGCAATGTGACATAGGAGGGGGCTGTTCAGGAGTGGGGCTTCCTTGGCTGGCCAGCTGGCTGGTGGCAGATTTCAACCCCCGAAATCCGGGGGAACCTTGCCCCGACTGGGGGGATGGCAACCCTAGTTCTATTGGGGTTTATTTCTTCTTTAATAAACTGAGCTATTTACTTTAAACAGTTGGTGCTCCATTCCTCTGCATGTTTAAACTCTGCCAACAATTTTTTCATGGAAGAGTAAAGGGCTTTTTTCCATGATGAGTAAAGGGAACCTTCACATCTATAGACAGTAAATGTCTGAAATCCAGTGCTAGAAGATATTCTGGACTAGATGGATCCAGCAGGGATTTTCTTATGCTTATAACAGGATACAGCAGAGCCTGAAACCATCTTCATCTTCTCCTTAAGCTAAGATAACCCACAATACCATTCTGTGCAGTTATTCAAGTCAAAGCTCACAGAGATAGGATTGCACTGCTGGTGAGCCAACTCAGACTTCTAACATCTGCCTTTAAGCTCTTCTGCTCACTGGAATCTTGTCAATGGCTTCCTGGTGTTGAGCTGCTTACCTGTGATGGGCAAGTCACTGATAGGGGTCCATGTGTTGCTGCCCTTTTTGCATTTCTCAACAATGTAGCCAGAGATTCGGGAGTTGCCTGTTTTATGTGGCGGCGTCCAGGAGAGTGTGATGGCACCCTTGTTGGCACTGACAATTTTAGGAGGGGCAGGAGGGCCAGGAAAAGCTATGAAAAAAATTATGTTCAATATTGTTACAAGAATTCTGCTAGCCCATAATACAAGGATAATTTCTAAGAGATTACATGTTCTTAAATGGATATTCAGATAGAGAAATGTTTCAAAAATTAGATTGCTAGTTAGGGTAGTTAGAGATTTTGTGGTGAGAGCTATATGGTGTTTAGTTATTCTCAGTAGGTTACATTCAAGACATATTTTATTTTCTTCTTGTTAGTAAGTCGTTAGAATGTTGCTGAGATGGCTGAAAGTATAGGCCATACTAAGCTTCGGTTGTGCTCATCTACAAAACAAATTTAAAGGGTTAAATTATAAGCCTTCTGCTTAGCAACCATATCATTTCAATGTTCTACACACACACACATAGTGATGATGGTGAAAAGTATGGAGAATGAAGTTACTGGAAGTTGCAGCCAAAAAAATGATGGTTTAATCTTCTGAACCAATATATGAAATTTAGCTCTCTTGTATGCCTAATAACTCTCTCCCCTTGGTTTCTTGGCCCACAAGCCCTAGCCTCCTAGTCTGCCTTGACTGTTCACTTCCTTCTTGTCTGTGTGGTATAGTCCTTCCTACTCCATCGGATTTTGCCTGATTGTATTTCACCATTGGCTCCTCCTCTCAGGGCCAGTTCCAGGTTTTGAAGGGCCCAGAGGCAACCAGTTGCCTACTACCAGGCCCCCATACTTTCCCACACTCCCTTGTACCTCCCATCTTCTCCCACCTGTCAGCCCTCCCACTTACCATGCTCAGTTGCCTGCACCACCTGTCCTGCGCACCCTTTCTGCAACAATACTGGCTGATGAACACAGCTGGGAGTGCTGCTGCCATGGCCACCAGCAGCGTAGCCTCTGTTCTCTGTGCACAGCAGGCCTCTCCCCAGTGATTCTGGACAGTTGTAAGCATGGGTGGCAGAGCACTTCAAGCAAACAAACAGGGAAAGGCATGCAGACAGGTGGCAAGGGACGTGTGTGGCGGTCAGCTGCTGTGGGCCCTACCAGGAGCCATGGGCCCCGGCAGCTGCCCCACCTCAGGGGATGCTGATGCCAGACCTGCCTCCTCTCCACATAATCATTTTTCACCACCCGTTGTTTCATCAGGTCCCTGCATGTCAGCCTACTGCCTGCTATATATCACTTCGTTTTTCCAGACTCTCTCTTCTCTTATCCACCCATGTCCTGTCTGTAGCCTCATCTCCCCTCTCTCTTTAACATCTTCTTGTCTCGGTTTCCCATTTCCTCTTTCCTTGTCCTCAAGTCTCCTTCTCCAGTTCCCAAGTTTCTGCTTTCTCAGTCCACTGTCTACTTTGCACTCTTTTGTCAGCTGCTTTGTCTCTGTGCTCCTGTAGACCATCTTCTAGAGTCTCTTTCCCATCCTCGGCATATCCTACAATGATAGTCCTGCCAATACAATCTGGGTTTTAATACCAGTGAAATTCTCCCTTCCATTCCAGAAGCTGTACTGCAAATATTTTGACAGCTTTCTTCTTCTTCAAGAAGTTGGAAACATTTGCGAACATTCCATGGCATAACATCACATCAGTCAGTCTGCGCCAGGAGCTCTACTGCCAGAAGTGCAATACAACACAGATGCACCATTTTGTACTATGCACTTCAGGGCAGTTAGATCCTGTTAACAATAAATTAATGCCACTTTCAAAAGTGAATGCATATGAGTGATAATTCTAATTATTCCCAGTGGATAAGGCCAGTGTGATACTGTTTCTGAATCCAAATAAGAACAGATTCATAAACTTTCAACCTCATTCCTTCTATTGCCAGTTAGGTAATTAAAGTATTATTTGGAGGATAGTGCAACAAAAGTGGCAAATTATGTTAAAGGGCAGGTTCAAAAGGAGACATGAAAAGACAAAGGATATACAAATGCAATGTGATGTGGTTAAACTGAAGGGCTAGTGCAGAACAGTAGCTAAGAGTGAAGCACAGATTCAGATTTCACCATTGCCCTGAATTCATGCAGGGGCCTTAGCCACTTTCATTCTGCCTTAGCGCTCCATATGCAATATGGAAATAACAGGATTAATCTACCTCCAAGAATTTTTGAAAGGATTACTAAAATAACGTGTGTGAAACACTTTGAATGCTCAATAAGTGATAAATAAATGGTAAACGAGCATTATTATGAGATGGAATGGGAACATTCAAATCCAGTTGAACCTGGTTCACGTTTCAGTTATATGACAATTCCTTGTTAATTATTTGATGGGGAGTTATATGTTTCACAAATATCTGACAAACATACTGAGGTCCTTTGTTACCTTTGGTAGCAGCCATCACCTCCTCAGATTCAAGTGCCTCACTGGTTCCCTCAGCATTCACTGCTTTCACTTTGAAGACATAGCTTTTGTCATGTTCCACTTTATTGGTGGTGAAAATAGTGCTGCTCCCATTGGTTTCACCCAATGTCAGCCAGGTCTTTCTGCCAACCTGCTGCCTCTCAATAATATACTTCTGTACTGGCTTACCCCCATCATCTTTGGGGGGCTTCCATTGGATAGTTATGCCACTTGTGGATGTGTCAACAACTTCTATTGGACCCACAGGTGTCTGTGGCTTATCTGAATGGAGAAGAAAAACAAAGGATGGAAAAGCTTGCTACTGGAACAGGCAGTTGGCAAGATCTGTACATGTTCCCATCCAAAGATTTAGGCTGAAGAACCAATGTGAGGTGTTAAAGAGCTCAAAACAATGGGATTGCTTTGTTAGATCTCTTTTTATATTAATGTCTGTCTCTAGCATACCAGTGACTCTACTGGCCAATATGTCCATCTCCTCCCTGCTTATTCCCCTGCCTGGCCATTTTTTCCATCTTCTTGGAAACACCAGCAGTCAATTGCTGGGTGACAGAGCTAGAAGGGAAACAGTGTCCTGCTGTCTCAGGCACTGGATGAAGAGTGCTTTGCTTCCTGTCTGGAGGAGGAGAAGACAGAAGTACACTATGGTTTGAGTCCAGGAGCACCTTAGAATCTCACTGTTCTACTGCATATTGCATACCAACACGGCTACTCTCTGAAACGATCTTCATAAAGACAGAAGTCGTAAGTGGGCAAGACGGAATGGTGGGGAAAGACATATCAGTGTTTCATTTGCTGGTGTGCTTCTGATAGGTATTAATGTAAAAAGGGATCTGACAATGCAGCCACTCCTTTTTAAATATACATTTGTCTTCAGCCATTGCCCAAAGCACTGTGTACTCTACTTTGCAACTTATAATGCAGCTTGCTATGAAATGTAGTAAAGATATTCTCTATTTCCCTACCTAATTTATTCTACTTTTCAACCCAAACCTGGCTGCTAAAACAGATTACAGCAATGAAAACCAATTACAAAGATAATTTAAATGGGGGTTGTCAAGTCTGGGCCCAGGTGGGATGCAAGGCTGTGGCTTCCCCTAGGGTTGCCAGGCCTGGGGCTGCATGGTCCGGCAACCAGTGGGAGATGGGGGGTGGTAGGTACTTACTGCAGGGGGGCACTTATCTTCATTGCCACACGATGATGTCACTTCCAATGCAACCCAGAAGTGCCAGCATCAGAGTGGTGTAATGCTCTAGCACTCGCCCCAAACTCTATAAAGCTCTGTCTGGGCAAATGTGTTGCCCCAGTGCAATACTGGTGCCTTCAGATCATGACAGAATTGACATCATTGAATGTTGGTCATCAAATGGTGACAAAGACAGCCAACCCCACCCCCCTTTTGCTGACCTGCTTCCACCCACTGACCAGATGAGCGTTGGCAGGCATCAGCAACAATTACCAGGAGTTTGCCTGCTATTAATGGGTTCCTGGTATGCCTACCTTCCACAAAAGGCCTTTCTGTTGACAGTATATTAGGGTTCTAACCTAGAAGCCATCTATAAAGTGGTTTCTTCATTTCATAAAAATGGCTGAATACTGGAGGACATCTCACCAATCACTACCAGTTTAAGAGAAACTTCCAAGGTTCCACTGTCATTCTTCAGCTTCACTTTGTAATCCCCACAGTCCTTTCGGTTGGTGCTGGATATGGAAAGTCGGGTGAAGTTATCTGAATGGTCAATGTGGATCCTGGCATCATCAAGAAGTTCACCATCATCCTTTAGCCAAGTAGCTCTGATTGGCTTTTTGCCTTCAAATGGGATCTTGACCATGGCATTCTTTCCTGCCTTAACCACTACAGGCTCCTTCTTCAGTTTTTCCAGGACAGCAGCATCAACATTTGGAGGGTCTAACCACACAAAAGCAAAGACCACAGTGAATTTACCTGAGGTATAGAACTGGTTATGAACTTTTTAAAATAACCCACAATCTCAACAGGAAATGGAAAATCTTGCTATCCTGGACAAGAACCTCACAGAATCCAGAAAGATATTCTGAAATTCTTCCACAGACAGCCTCCAACACAAAATCCATCATCTACTTCTCAATCGCCTTGATATTGTTAGACTAGTATTAATGTGATAAGAAATACATTAAAACAAAGAGAGAACACAGCCCTAGAGTGCAGGATGTATGTGCAGTAAATATTAGACAAGGACAGCAATAGGGGAAAGGGTCAGAGGCTGAGTAACAGAGATAGGATAAAAAAAAAGAGATGGTGGTGGAGTTAACAAAAAGTTTTGCTAAGGAAATAGAATCTCAGGAAGGGACTGAAACAAAAGAGTGGAGTGACTTAACATAATGATTCCCAAACCAGAAAGTAGCCTGATAAAAGGCAAAGAACTGGAAAAGGGAGACAAGAAAGGAGGGTAATCAATCTGACTAGACTGGATAGTGCAAGAGGGTATGCCAAGGTCACAGATGAGGAAGGTATAGGGTTGCAGCCAGCACAGTTGTTTTTGCAGGTTCAAGGACTTCCACCTGGAAAGCAAAACTTTCTCAACTCCCCAACTTTCACAGCTTCAGTAGCCCTAAATGCCTCTCAAAAGCCTGTTCTTGGAATGGGATGGGGGTGGGGGGGCAAGAACAGCATTTCAGATGGGAGGATCAGGCAACCACGGGAAAGGGGAGCTAAGAGAGTCATGCTCTGTAGGTAGATAACTTCGCAGGTATGCTGTGCTGGATCCAACCCGTAATTCAGACAGAAGGGCATTTTTGTAAAAGTAATAAGGTTATAATATAACAAAATAGTTCAGGAAAGCACTTCGATAAAGACAGCAGCACTGTGAACTATCCCATTGTGTATAGTATGTTTACCTCTTTGCTGTACGTAAACTACTTTGGTTTTATACTTACATAATTCCATTTTCTTTATTGTGTAATCATATTGCTTTAATGCTTTATGCCTTGTTCCAGATTGCTGTAATCCTATATTGATGGCATTGATTTACACTGTGTAATCCACCTTGAGTCTCAGTGAGAAAGGTGGACTACAAATAAGGTTAATAAATAAAAATTATGAGTAAAAATGAGAGACTTGAAATGCAACACAAAGCATGACTGAAAGCCACTGCTGGGAGGTAAGGAAGAAGACAAACAGGTGAGGTTAGGCAGAGGCATTCTGAATTGACCAAAGAGGCTCCATACCATTTTTGGCCAATCTCTGGCCTAGAATTTTGGTTGGAGTGGCTTAATAATTGTATGCAGCATATGCATGCATTCATAAAACATCACAGAAAGTAGTAACCACCACTTAATGGTTTCCAAGATGATCCCTGCTCTTTGCTTGTGGCACATGGAAGCTCAGTTTATGTAGATTAACTTTAGGAAGGACTGATATCTGGAGAGTTCTGTCTCAGTGCAGCACTATGAAACTATTGCATTAGGTGTACAATTCCACCTGCTGCATTTTAACATCACTTTATTTAATAAATGACACAGTTTGACCTTACTTACCTTCAACAAAAAGATATGCCTCTGTGTGGATGTCTTCAGCATCAAATTTATATTTCCCAGAATGGCTTTCTTGTACTTCATCTATTATCAGCTTATGGACTGCACCATCTTTCTTAACAGAGAAGCCCTCCAGTCCTGTTACCTTGTGGGGAAGGGAGCAGAAGACAAAGCAATAATCTTTCTCAAAAAGTACATATGACACAGGAGCTGCTACAGACAATTTGATGCAATTTGTAGCTCTTCAGAAAAAACAGCTGAGCGGTAGGGAGTTCCCTGTTGCTGGGAGCCATTTAAACCCCTGCTTTCTGCTCCCTGCAGCTTTTCACAGGAAGCAGAAAGCAGGAGTTTGAACTTTAAATGGTTCACATAGACTGATATGAACTGGGTTGTTTCGCAAACCAACCTCCTGGGTTGTATGGGTTCATGGTTCAGTTTGTGGATCAGATCTTTGAGGGGCAGTTTAGCACTTAGAGAAGGATAAGAACCCTTTTTTAAATGTCACCCTGAAATCTTATGCGCAGGGCACTGCCTGGCAGAAGAGTGAAACTAAAATGGGTCTGGTATAAACAAAATGGATGCTGGCCAGGTAAGAGCCTGGAAAAATATTTTGGTAGGTGAATCATAGAGGCTGACCAACTATCAACCCTCCTCCCCGCCCTAGATGCATAAATTAAACAATGGGTCTCCCAAGAAAACATTACCTCACCTTGAATGAACTTCATCCACATACAATCATGCTTCCCCTCGCCCATGTACCCTAATTATGCAATACTTAATGCTATTCATACAATCCAGTAGTTTCTCCCATCCTGTACTTCAGAGTCAACAAGAAATGTTAACACCTACAGTTCAACACCCAGCAATCTCATCAAGCTTTCCAAAGATCATTGTCCATCCCCGAAAAAGCCATCTATGATGAACCCCTGCTTCTTCCTTACTGTGAGGCAGATTTTCCTGCCAAAACGCTGTTCCCCACTCTGACTGAGCAGCCCCTTAGTAACGTATTTTAATAACAGAATCTCACCCTGTGATACAGAAGTTATTTGGCTTTTGCCCAGGCCAGAAATTTATTGTAACTAAGTAGGAGCCCTCTTATAAATCCCTTTGGAAATGGCACTTGACATGAAGTAAAGTTCAAACAGAAAGGTTGATTTTATCGAACAGGCACAGTTGGATTAGGAATAGGGCAGGGGGTGAGAAGTTGAGATAAATTTTGTTGTTTATACAAATTATAATATTTTGTGGGCTTCCCTCTCTTCTTCGCTCCATGAAATGCCGGCTGTTTCGCTGCCTCTGTGGACCTTACTCTTCTAGATTGGTAAATATCACCTCCCAAAATCACTTTCTCTCTCTCCTTTCTTTATTTCCCCTTAGCTAGCTTGTATGTGTTTTAGTGTGTCTGTGTATGTGATTTGCCTTCTATTCTGTTTCCATAAAACAGCTTCCAGTTGAACATCTGACAGGCTTATTTTGAGCGTTCTCTAAGGAAAAATCCTGGTATATATTGGTGGAGATCCCAGTTACCCGCCTCTTGTTCTGTCTCTGTTTCCTCCCACTAATTAGGAGACTGCTAATTTGAGTAACAGTAAAGCCCTTTTACCTTTCCAGAACAGCCTATAATGTGCCAGAATGTGCATACCGGTCTTTGTAAAAATGTGCATATGGTTCAAAAAGCCTTCTCATAATTCAAATGAATCCAAGCATCTGAAAAAGAATGAGTTACTGACAACATACCTTGAAACCATCTTTAAACCAGGTTCCCTCAAGCTGGTCATTGTTGAGGCTGCATGATAAGACAGCTGATTTTCCTTTCTGGGCATGGGCATCAAATAAACCTTGTGTGAAACGACAGTGTGGTTCTGAACAGGCAAAAAAGACAAAACAGCTCATTTTGAAAAGGCATTTGTTATGTATCAGGTGTTACAAGTGTAAACTAAGATATTTTAACACAAGATATATACACATACCTCTCATATCCTCTTCAAGCAGAATTCCTCCTCTTCCTTTCCTGTCCCTGGTTCTTAAGATATCAGCTGAAATAAGTCCACTGGCATCAGTGTCAGACAGCTGTCTTCTTCTGTCACCAACTTGAACTCCACCATCATAAAAGCCAGACAACTGATTGTAATTCAGGAGCTCTTCACCAGGAACACCTGACAGTGACCCATCAGTGCCTTTGACTCCTGCACCACCACCACCACATATTCTCCCATCCCTACCATAGGGACCACCTATCACTCCTTCACCAAGTCCAGCAACACCAGCTCCAGCAGGCCTACCATCTATGCCATACAGTCCACCTGCACTACCAGCACCACCAATACCTGCTCCAGCTGGCATACCATTCTTGTCATACAGTCCACCCATATCCCCAGCACCACCATATCCACCAACACCTGGTCCAGCTAGTATACCATCCTTCCCATAAAACCCAGCTCCAGCACCACCAGGTCCTCCACCAGCTAGAATACCATCTTTACCATGAAGTCCACCTATGCCTCCAGAACCACCAAGTCCACTGGCACCTGCTCCAGCTAACATACCATCTTTGCCATAGAGTCCACCTATACCTCCAGCACCTCCAGGTCCACCAGCTCCTCCTCCAACTGGCATACCATCCTTCCCATACAGCCCAACTATGCTTCCAGAGCCACTAGGTCCTCCAGCTCCTGTTCCCCTTAACAGACCATCTTTTCCATATAGAACTACACCACTAGCACCATGAGGTCCACTGATACCTGTTCCAGGTAGCATACCATCGTGGCCACAAAGACCAGCTATGCCTCCAGCACCACCAGGTCCACCAGCACCCGCTCCAGCAAGCATACCATCCTTCCCATATAGCCCAGCTATGCCTCCAGCACCAACAAGTCCATTGGCACCTGCTCCAGTAAGCATATCATCTTTTCCATACACTCCAGCTATACCTCCAGCACTACCAGGTCCACCAGCAGCTGCTCCAGCTAAAATGCCATCTTTGCCATAGAGTCCAGTTACACCACCAGCACCACCAGGTCCACCAGCATCTGATCTAGCTAACATACCATCTTTCCCATACAGCCCAGCTACACCTCCAGCACCATCAGGTCCACTAGCACCTGCTCCAGCTAGCATACCATCTTTCCCATACAGCCCAGCAATACCTCCAGCACCAGCAAGTCCACCAGCACCTACTCCAGCTAGTATACCATCTTTGCCATAGAGTCCAGCTACATCTCCAGCACCAGCAAGTCCACTGGCACCTGCTCCAGCTAGTATACCATCTTTCCCATACAGCCCACCTATGCCTCCAGCACCAGCAAGTCCACCAGCACCTATTCCAGCTAGCATACCATCTTTGCCATACTGTCCAGCTACGCCTTCTGCAGTACCAGGTCCACCAGTTCCTGTTCCCGCTATTATACCATCTTTGCCATAGACTCCGCCTATGCCTCCAGCACCACTAGGTCCACCAGTACTGGCTAACATGCCTTTCTTGCCATAGGATCCACCCACTCCTCCAGCACCATCAGGTCCACCATCTCCTACTCCAGCTAGCACAACATCCTTGCCATAGAGTCCAGCAATGCCTCCAGAACCTCCAGGTCCACCAGCTCCTACTCCACCTAGTGTACCATCCTTCCCATACAGTCCAGATATACCTCCAGTACCACCGAGTCCACTGGCTCCTGCTCCAGCTAGCATACCATCTTTGCCATAGACTCCGCCTATGCCTCCAGCACCACCAAGTCCACTGGCTCCTATTCCAGCTAGTGGACCATCTTTGCCATAGACTCCGCCTATGCCTCCAGCACCACCAAGTCCACTGGCTCCTATTCCAGCTAGTGGACCATCTTTGCCATAGACTCCGCCTATGCCTCCAGCACCACCAAGTCCACTGGCTCCTATTCCAGCTAGTGGACCATCTTTGCCATAGACTCCGCCTATGCCTCCAGCACCACCAAGTCCACTGGCTCCTATTCCAGCTAGTGGACCATCTTTGCCATAGACTCCGCCTATGCCTCCAGCACCACCAAGTCCACTGGCTCCTATTCCAGCTAGTGGACCATCTTTGCCATAGACTCCGCCTATGCCTCCAGCACCACCAAGTCCACTGGCTCCTATTCCAGCTAGTGGACCATCTTTGCCATAGACTCCGCCTATGCCTCCAGCACCACCAAGTCCACTGGCTCCTATTCCAGCTAGTGGACCATCTTTGCCATAGACTCCGCCTATGCCTCCAGCACCACCAAGTCCACTGGCTCCTATTCCAGCTAGTGGACCATCTTTGCCATACAGCTCACCTATGCCTCCGGCACCGCCAAGTCCACCAGCACCTACTCCAGCTAGCATACCATCCTTGCCATAGAGACCACCTATGTCTCCAGTGCCACCAAGTCCACCTGTACCTCCTCCAGCAAGCATACCTTCCTTGCCATACAGTCCACCTACACCCCCAACACCACCAGTGCCTCCTCTGGCAAGCATACCATCCTTGCCATAGCCTTCTCCTGTGGCCCCAACACCACCAGGTCCCCCAGCAGCTGCTTCTAGTGGCATACCATCCTTATCATAGAGTCTGCTTAAGCCCCTATTACCAGCATATCCTCCACTGCCTAAATCAGCTAGTGTACCCTCCTTACCATAGAGTCCCCCTATCTCCCAAGCACCACCAGGTCCTCCAGTGCCTGCTCCACCCAGCATTCTATCCTTACCATAGAGTCCCCCTACGGTTCCAGCACCACCAGCTCCTCCACTGCCTGCTCCAGCTGGCATACCTTCCCTGCCATACAGTTCCCCCATGCCTCCAGCACCACCGGGTCCTCCAGCCCCTGTTCCAGGTAGCATACCATCTTTACTATAGAATCCCCCTATGCCTCCATCACTTCCACCAGCCCCCGCACCAGCTTGTAGACCATCTTTTCCATAGAATCCACCTATACCTCCAGCACCACCAAGTCCACTGCCACTTGCTCCAGCTAGCATACCATCTTTGCCAGAGAGCCCAACAATACCACCAGCAGCTCCTGGTCCACCACTTCCTATTCCTGTGAATATTCCATCCTTTCCATGGAGTCCTCCAACATCCCCAGTACCTCCAGCCCCACCAGCACCTGCTCCAGCTAACATATCTTTTCCATAGTGACCTCCTACACCCTCATGCCCGGCTCCAAACCTACCAGCACTAGCACCATCTAGTGTACTATCTCTGCCATAGATTCCACTCCCTGCACTATCTCTGGTGATACCAACACCATTTAGCATACCACTTTCTCCATAGAGTCCACCTTTGGCTGCTGGGCCTCCACTTCCAGCTAGCATACCATCCTTATCATAAAGATTTCCAGCACCATTGAGCATGGCTGCAGGCCCACCAAGTACTCCTTTCATGTCATAAAACCCTTCTTGCCCTCCTGTTCCAGCTCTGAAACCACCGATACCATCTCCATGCAGCCTGGAACCTTGTCCCTGTACAGCATGCCGTCCACCCACACTTCCAAATCCAGCACCAGAAGATATACCACCCAGCATACTATCCTTACCATTAAATGCTCCCATGCCAGCCAAACCACCTGGACCTCCACTAACACCACTTCCACCTAGCATAGTGTCCAGTCCCATAAGGCCACTACTATTCCCAGCAATTCTAGAAAACGTATTCCCTTCTGCCATATCTCCTCTTGCTCCAGAAAATTGTCCCATAATCCCTCCTCTTCCCAGAGATCCATCTTTTCCCAAAGAACCATGAACTTCTCCACTGCCATCTCTATATAGGCCATCTTTGCCCATGCTGAAGCCTGAAAGGGAATCTTGGTCTTCATGCCCTTCTCCTTGACGAAGTTTTTTAGCACCATCTTCCAGAACCTTGCCTTTCCATCCAGCCTTATCATCACTGTCTCCTTCAGTCTGTTTTCTCTTTCCTTTGGCAGCTGCATTAAAAACATATTTCTGGTTAATGGAAACAACTTGGCAATTTATACAAACCAAATGGGGCAAAATGCACTTTAGTGCAAGACATCTACTTTGGAATGAGAACTACATTAATGAAACAAACATTAAAACAGGAGGCAGGAAGCTGTAAAAACTGCAGTTTCCATCAGCTATAGCAGAAACTCATGCTGGATGAAAGAATAATTTGGAGGAAAGAAAGGATTTAGTCAGTGTCTGTCCTCTGTTTAAAGAACCACCTCCCATGGCCAGTTACACCATAACTTTACAGTACAACCATGAGTAGAGGAGCCAAAAATGCACAGGGCACTGACCAGCCACTATGCCAGAGCAGCTCAAGGATACATCAGTAGAGCAACCCAACAGCACTGTGTTGTGGCTCAGTGTGACTCCTGCAATGCCATGGACCCCCACCAAGGCAACATGGGTGCAACACGCTGCACCAGAAGGGAAAGGGGCAGGCCAGGGGGCATGGCAGGTGTTAGTTGGCTCCCGAAGCTGCCTCAGTCTGGAGATGATGCAGAAAAGGCCTCCACATAACCCATAGGAGCCCACTGAGGAGTCCAGGCAAAGCAATGCCCCAAGCACCAGGAGGCTGATGGGCAGCGTGGCTGGTACCTATTGACCCCTGGTGCTGCATCTAATATAAACCTCGGGCCATGCACAAGCAGGCCAGATACTAAGTTATGTGACACAGGGCTATGTTGGCTGGCTGTGTGACTGCAGAACTTAGCATCTCACATCATGGTGGCAGTTCAAACACACATGGGAAATGGGTGCACCATATGGAGGCACAACCCACTGATGGAGTATGCAGGGACCAGCCACAGAGGGCCAGCATATGCCTGCAGATTTGATTCCCCTCACAAAGAGTGCCTTTCCCCTGGTTTCCATACTACTGTAAAGGTCCATCCTTAACTTTTCAGCAGGCATGTCCCTCATCCGGCAGTAGAACTCTGGTGCGTGAGCCATGCCGTGGACCCCCCCCCATCACAGAGCAATGTAAGCACAGTGGCCCCCAACTATGCTGGGCCCTGATGCCACCCCCCCCGGAGCCACACCCTGTCCCACTCAGGGTTTGCAGCCACACCAAGCCAAACACCCCCTTGATGATCATGCGGTCTTGATGACTATTGGCGGGCCTAGTTGTAAGCTGTGCAGTCTGCTGGTTCATTCCTGGCATACAGAGTCAGCAGGTACGAGAGCAGGGGGGAAAGGCCCTTTCCCATAGCCCCACTGCTGCTCCTGGCCTCCCCTGTTTGGCCATTTGTGTGGGTTTGTGCACTCCCACTACCCTGTACCCATCCTCTGTCTGGCAGGGGGCAGGGATGCATTCCGTGATCTGGAGTTTCCAATGGTGGCTGGTGAGTGGTGACACCATCATATTCCCCTGTGGCATATCGGCTTGGGCATGCTTGGGCCCACTGCTGCCAGCCTAACTAGACTGAGACAGAGAAAGTGCCCCTGCATGGGCTGCTGATCCAGTATTTCAGAGTGGTACTTGCTACCACCAGCAGAGCCAGTTTGGTGTAGTGGTTAAGTGTGCGGACTCTAATCTGGGAGAACCAGGTTTGATTCCCCACTCCTCCACTTGCACCTGGCTGGGTGACCTTGGGCAAGCCATAGTTCTGATAAGAGCTGTCCTTGAAAAAAGAGCAGTTCTTAAAGAGCTCTCTCAGCCCCACCTACCTCACAGGGTGTCTGTTGTGGGGAGGGGAAGGG